ACTTTTTATTCATCTTGATCACAAATATTTCCTAAGAGATTTCTTTCAAATGCTTTGTTAAAATTTGGATGTGTATGTTCTCCTGAATTGTGGGAACATAGGATTTTTTTTTTTTTTTTTTAAGGGACAGGGTCTTGCTCTGTCTCCTAGCCTGGAATGATTACAGCTCACTGCAGCTTTGAATTCCTGGTCTCCTGACTACAGGTTTGCACCCCACATCTGGCAAATTTTAAAAATTTTTTTGTAGAGATGGGGTCTCGCTATGTTGCCCAGGCTGGTATTGAACTCCTGGGCTCGAGCCATCCTGCCATCTCTGCCTCTCAAAGTGCTGGGATTATAGGCGTGAGCCACTGTGCTCAGCCAGGAATCTTAAAAGGAAACTAACTGGGTTAATCTTATACGACTTGCTCTTACTATTGGGGAGCCTAGGGATTACCACTTTCTGGGTGTTTAAAATCGATTCTCAAATTTTGCTTGGGACTTTGGTCTGTGTCTGTATAGGCTGTTGGTATTTTTCCCTCATTTTAATTTTCTGAAGCATCTAATGATCACTTGATCCTTTCTGATCTGGTTCTTTGCTGACTTCTTTTCCTAGAAATTTGAATTTTCTGAGATTGCTTTTCCTCTTTTTTTCAATCTCTGTTTTCTAAGATTCTCTATACCTGCATTGTCCGATAAGGTAGCCACTAGCCACAAACAGCAAAGAGACGTTACTGGCGCTAAGGAATCTACCGACTTCAAGTTGAAAGCCAGAGCAGGAAACGCTGACACATGGAGTAGAAGGTTAAGGTCGACTATTCCGGGAATCAAGAGAGGAGCATGAGAGAGAAGTTGTCACAATTTAACCAGTTTGACTTGCTTGTTGCTGTTGCCAGATTATCCATGTATGCTCGAGGCCCTGTCTGCTCCTAACAATGAGTCATTCTTGCAAATAAAGTAAATATTAATAAATTTATGTATAGAGTACTTTTTATAAAATCTTAGTAGTAGTTTGCCAAGAGGTAATGAAGCAAAATAAGTCCCTAAATTGGCAATTTTGATATAATTTTGTGTAGTGCTGCTAACCTTACTAGGTTATTTGAATACTATAGAATAATGTTTGTAGACATTTTTCAGTGTTTGAATATTTTCTTTAAGCTACTATTTTTATAAATGCTATTAACCTTAATATTACTTATTAAGCAAGCAATTTAAAAAAGATATTCATAATAGTGAGTAAAGAGTATTGGAAGTATTTCAGTACTACCCAGGAATTTCCAGGAATTCCAATTTTTTCTTTCTAAATCATGAAGATTTGATATCTATAGAGAATTTGAAAACAATAGTCTATAGTTCTTATCCCAAGAACTATTTGTTCCTCATCTATAATATGATAGGAACAGACATTGAGACTAAGCGTTTAGAGACTATTATGGCAATTTGACATTACCAGAACTGAACAAGTGGTCATGGACTGAACTCTTGATGAAAGCATTTTACAAAAGTATTTGTCCATTACAGATGGTAATTTATTTGGATAAGCACTGGTTTAAGTGAAACATAGTGATTGCTTGGACCAGGCTTGGAAATATGAGAAGAGGATGGGTAGAATCAGGATATACTTTGATGATAGAGCTAAAGGGATTTGCTACTGGGTTAGATGTCAGATTATTCTAGATTATCTTTCCCTCTCAAGTGCTTCACTTGTAAAATAGGCATAGTTATGAGAGCCACATTCATGATTGTTGTAGCTATGTCAAATGCTTCTTTGAGCTTGCTGGAAATGCACATTGCTGCTAATAAAATCTTCCTAATCCAATCATGTATTTAATAATTCCCTTTACCTTCAACCCATCAACTGCTCAACCATTTTATATAGAAGAAATTTTAAACTGCTTAGGTTGACTTTTAAGATATTAGGTGCATCTTCTTTCAAAGTCTTCTCCATGGTTATCTTCTACCATGTCCTTTATATTCTTGACAGTAGCCCAGCTAGACTGGCTACTGTGCCAGTCAGTCTCCTGCTGCATAATAGACCACCCCAAATATGGTGTCACAAAACAATAGCCATTTTATTATGCTCACAATTTATTGACTCAGGCATTTGGAACATGCACAGCCAGGACAGCTTGTCCCTGTTCCACAATGTCTGGGGCCTCAGCTGGGAATAATTGAAGGTTGGGGTCTGGAATCATCTGAAGGCTCCTTTATTCACAGCGTCTGGCGGTTGATGCTGGCTGTCGGCTGGGAGCTCAGCTGGGGCTGTCAGCTGAAACACCTACATGTGGTCTCTCTGCATGGGCTATTTTGAGCTTCCTCAGAGCATGGCGGCTGGGTTCCAAGAGCGAGTGTCTCAAGAGACAGGAAGTGGAAACTAACAGTTTCTTAAGACCTGGTTCTAGAAACTGTTACAGTGTCACTTCCACCATATTCTCTATTGGTCAGGCTGTGACAGCCTGATTCAAGGGGAGAGGATATAGATCCCACCCCTTCATGGGAAGGATGCCAGAAAATTCTAAAGCCATGTTTTAAAACTGCCGCAGCCTGCTATTCACCAGACTTCCTCTACGTCTTCTGTGTCTAAGTCCCTCTGTCAGCTGCCATCTTCCTCCACTCCCTGCATCCCTCCCCATGGGTGGGTACAAATGCCATCTCATTTTCTCTGCGGTCTTTCTCGTATCTCATCTCCTGGCTAAAGTCAGTTTCTCCCTTTTCTGTGTTCCTATAGCATTACCTTTTGTTATTCTTTAGTAGTCATTTTTCAATATTTTCCCTCCTTGGTAGATTATAAACTATTGGAAGGCAAGCATCATGTCTTGTTTCCCTTTGCATATCTCATAGCAGATAGGTTCCTTAAAGTGAACACTCAGTATCAAACTGAGTCTCAGATTTGGGACCTAGATGGGTTGGGACTTCACAGTAGTTAAGTAGAAAAATCATAATGAGAAAATTAAAAACTTTCCTGAAAAACACATGTTGTATTTTAAAGCTTTTTAAATTGGCTCTCTGTTGTAAAGTAATACTTCTAAATAAGCCTTTCCCCCTATAGCCATGAAGCTAGAAGAGTAGCTTTTTTGATATTATCAGCATCTTTTTGCCCAGGTCAATCCCTGATACTCATATCTTAGTGTTTTTTTGCAAACTGTAGGTCTCAGCACATTACTGGATCAATTTAGTGAGTCACACCCAAGATTAGAAATAAAAGGAAATAGCTGTTATGAATAAAAACTCACAAGTTGCTAGAGTAAGAATTGTTTCATGACAATGTTTGTTTTAGTTTTATATGCGTATGTGTGTAATGAGTTGAAATGTAAAATATATTTTGTATTATAATTAGCGATCAAAAGTGTTTGAAAGGTAGTCTCCTAAGCAACCCTTTTTAAACTCTTGATATTCTGGGTCATTTCTTTTGTTTTTGTTTTCTTAGCTTATTTCTTTTGGTGTCCTTTCTAGGGGCTTATATACAGATCCCTTCTGGGGACCATACATACATGTTCCTTAATGCTCAATCTTCGCCCCTCAGCCTCTTTTTAGAACAAACCTCAGTTTTCCAGGGCGACATATGTTACTTTCTCCCTTCTCCTTTGGAGACTTTAAACCCACTCTCCCGCCCTCAAGAAGTAAGGAAGGGGACTCAGCTTATTCTTTTTTATGTTTTTAATTGAGGTATAGAGCCTATACTGTGAAGTGTACAAATCCTACTTGTACAGCTCATTGAATCTTTGCATCTGTTTTCATCCATATAAGCATCATCACAGATGAAGATATAAAAACATTTTCATCACTCTGGAGGGAAGCAGCTTATTCTTAAATCCTTTCTGGAACAGGTGGGGGTGTCAGTAAATTAGCAGATTCTCTCCGACTCCTTTATGTGGCTCATGCCAGTAATGATGTTTAGTTTCGAAGGGTGCAACGGTCTGAAGCAACTGAGTTAGGAAGTGTTAAAACAGAGCGAGATGGGAGATGGGATGTGGAACGTGAGCTTTGAAAGAATTCAGTGGGACCAGCTTGGATGAACTTAGGGGAAAACCAAGGAAGAATCATTGCAGGAAGAATTAAGGGGAAGAAAGTTTTGTCAGAATTCCAGAGGAGAAGACATAAAACTTAGTTTGCCGTTGCCACTATAACAACGCATGATAAATTTAGTATCTTGAAACAACACAAATTTATTTTCTTATAGTTTTGGAGGCTCTCAGGGGAGAATCCACTTCCTTTTGCTTGTGTCCCTTCCTCCGTCTTCAAAGCACATTACTTCAGTCCGTTTCCTCTGTCATATCACCTTCTGAGCTCTGCAGGTAAATCTCCTGGTCGTCTCCCTCTCAAAGGACACTTGTGATTATATTCAGGGCCCACCCGGATAATCTAGGATAATCGACTCATCTCACAATCCTTAATTTAATTACATCTGCAAAGTCCCTTTGTCACATAAGGCAGCTTTCATAGGTTCTAGGGATTAGGATGTGGGCACTTGGTTTTTGTTTTTCAAGAGCCTTTCTTCACAAAGGAAAGGTCTGCCGGACATTTGCTTCCAGTTCATTCTCCTTTTTAATACTAGATTAATTTTCCTAATACAGCACATTGTACATTTTATTTCCTTGTTCAGACATCTTTGGTGACTCCCCATTGGCTAATAAAATTAAGAGGGCCTAGAAATGACATTCAGGTTGCTGTTTAACCCCAAGTTACATGTCGAGCTTTTCTCTTCCTCTTTCCTCTCTGAGGCAGCAGCAGCTCCTCACTGTTGCTTCCCTGACTGCTTCCCTCTCTTCCCTTTCTCTGAGTCTTCCTTCTGCCTCTGGGGCCCTTGCCCGGCCTTTAACCCTTTGCACTCGGGCTTTTAACCCTTTGCACTTGGAAGTCAAGTGTGACTCGACATGGTTAGCAAAAATTATAGAAGTTAAAATTACTCTTTGAATGTATCAGTAATTTGAAATATAAAAAAATCCAAATAAGTTTGTATGAAAAGAAACTCCAGTTTTTTATCCTACTGGCACGCTTTGTAAAATCTGGGGAATTAAAAAAATTAAATCCCAAGTAGAATAAAGGAATCGAGAAAAAAAGCAAGCGAATGCAAAGGGTTAAGATCTTCTCCAGCAGTGTTTTCCTGCCATCAGTATTAGTTTCCTAGGGCCGCTGCAAACCTGGTGGCTTAAAACAACAGAAATGTATTCTCTCACAATTGTGGAGGCCCAGAGTCTGAAATCAGGGAGCCAACGGGGCACACCCTCTTTGATGGCTCTAGCAGGGAATCTTCCTTGCTCCTCCTGGCTCCTGATTCCTCCATGTGTTTCTTGGCTTGTGGCAGCATAACTCCAGTCTCTGCCTCCATCTTCATGTGACCTCTCTCTGTGTCTTTCCATGCATCTCTTATAAGGACACTTATTATTGGATTTAAGGACCACCTGGATAATTTGGAATGGTCTCATCTTGAGATTCTTAACTTATTTAAATATGCAAAGACCGTTTTTTCCAAATAAGATCACATTCACAAGTTTTGGCATGAGGACAGGGGCATGTTTTCTTGGGGGCGACTATTTAACCCTTGACACCACTTCAACCAGCAGTTGTAGTTTATTTCTTTGACCTCTTGACATTATTGGCATGCTTGTACGACTCATTTGGACCACATCATCTCTAGCCTTACTATTATTGAACAATTTTTACTTCTTTTGCCAGATTATGACCCCTTATCTTAGCCCATTTATTTGTGCTACTATTACAAAATACTTAAGGTAGGTAGTTTATAAACAATAGAAATTTTTCTTTTCATTCATTCACTAATTCATTTAGAGATGGGGTCTTGCTATATAGCCCAGGCTGGAGTGCAGTGGCTATTCACAGGCATGATCTTAGAGTTCTATAGCCCCAAAATGGGCTCAAGCAATCCTCCTGCCTCAGCCTCCAGAGTAGCTGGGACTACAGGTGTGCTCCACTGCACCCAGCTGTAAAACATAGGAATTTATTGCCCACCATTCTGGAGGCTGAGTTCAAGATCATGGTGCTGTAAGCTTTAGTATCTGGTGAGGACTCGCTCTCTGCCTCATAGTTGGTGCCTTTTTCTTGCATCCTCACATAGTGGAAGGGGCAAGGGATCTCCCTGAAGCCTCTTTTATAAAGGTGTTAATCCCGTTTGGGATGGAGCCCTTATGACTTAATCCCTTTCTAAAGGTTTTGCTTCTTAATAGTATTGCTTTGAGTTCCAACATATAAATTTTTGGGGGTGACACTAACACTCAGACCATAGCAGCCCTGAGATGATGATGGCTTCTTTTGCTCTGTAACTTTTCAGCTACTAGCAGCAGCCTGCTTAGCCATGTGGTGCTTAAGAAATGTTTATCAGGTGATCAACATTTTTTGTGAATAAAATGAAAGATGGCAAGTAAATATCCTGGCATGGTGATTACTGGGAGAGTATTTTGAAATATAGCATGTGATTTTTCTCACTGCCAGTTTTTTGTGTTTTTGTTAATTTTTGGTGTTCTACTTTTTGGGAGGAGTAACTAACTGCTTTTTATTTCTCTAGAACTGTAAGTGAGTCGTTGGGAGGGAGCAGAGCTGATGTTGGGACTAGCCAAGCTGAGTGGGTTTGGAGGTCAGCCAGATAAAGCTTGGAGGCCTGTTGGCAGGTCTGTCCCTGTTACTTGGGCATTTGTCTTACCTGGTATTTTGGAAGTCTTTATCTTCCCGGGAATCCTTTGTAGTTGCGTTTACAAACTTAGAAGACACTCTTGCAGGCACCTGCACCAGCAGCAGTGGAGGACTATGGTGAGGGCAGCCTCCAATCTTGCTTTCTTTCCATAAGGAGATGGTTTCACAGTAGATCTGCATGACAAGGTCTCCTTGGCCTGCCCTGTAAGCACAGCTGGTCTCTGAGGCTTACCAATGAGCACAGGTCTTAGGCTGTTTTCCCAATTATTCTCTTTTCTTTCTTTGGCTTAATTTCAAGGTTATCTGCTAATGTCCCCTTTTTTCTTTTTCTTTTGTCTCAGTCTTACTTTGAATAGATGCTGGCAGTCTAACCCTATCAAAGTTTAAGTGATTTTTTTTGTACTAAGCATTTGAAGGTAACTGATTTTCAGCCTTTTTGGTATTTTTAAGCAGGTATTCAATGATTACCTTCATTTGGAGTTTTACTGTATCCATGGTTCGTGATGTAAGTGCTCAAGTCTGTGAAATGTACGTAATCGTTACTTTCAGCGAGAGTGTTCTATAGAAAGGTTGACCCATAAGGTGCAGGTTAATCCTCTCCCTTGGTATAGTGGGAGAAAGGAGAGGCTGGAAAGGAATGCATAGACTATAGCATTATGGGTAAGAATGGCTTCTGGTGTCAGACACGTGTGGGTTTGAATCTCATTCCTCCACTTCCCAGCTTTGTGACATTAGGGAACTTAATTCACCTCTCTGAGCTTTAGTTTTATTATCTGTAAAATAAAGATGATAATTGCTATTGTATCATTATGTGTGTTGCCAGGATTAAGTGTGGTAATATGCATGCAGATCTCTTTCATGATAGTGTTTGGTACTGTGGAAGTGTTCAAAAAATTGTGACTGCTATTATCATTTATTTTTCAGGGAAAACCGAGGCACTAGTGATAATTATGAAATGTTTCCAAGTCGCCCCACAGGAAGAGTCTAACTTGTGGGATTTAGAAAACAGACCATTAATGTGTTGAGTAATGCAATATTGAATAAGTCAGTTATTAAAATCTGGCTCTGTGGTGTTTATTTGGTTAGTTTGGAGAAAGATAGACAAATGACAAGAATAAAGGCACTTAATGACTTTCTTACTGATTTAAAGCATTTATCATGCTAGATGTATAAAACTACACTTCCTCTTAGTTTAAAGTCTCTACCTCCAAGCTCAATGGGAGGATAGAATTTAGAGTATGGTTTAATTATTAGTGTTAACTTCGTATTTTTAGGAATAATTTTATGACTGAGAGATTTGTTCCAGATCACGTGTCTTTTATAATAGAGATGTGATTAAATACATTGTTCTTTGTATTAGGAAACCATGAATTTCTACACTGCTTCTCTGATTTTCTGATCAAAGAAAAAAAAATCATAGTAGATGATTCTTAGAACAGTCCCCTCCCCAGAGTTATATTTTAGATTAAAATTACTTTGCTTAAGCCTCTCTGTGTATTACATCATTTCTGAGCTTTTCAGAGGGGGAAAAAGAGGAGTAGGGGCATAAAGTGTTAGAAATTGAGTAAATTGCATCATAATCTGACCTTGAACATTGATATTGTGACTGGATGTTGAAGACTTTACCAAAGTTCATTGGTTCATGAGTTGAAGAATTCCTTATGTAGGGGCATGTGTTCTTACATGGAAGAAATCTTCTCAGATTTGGGGTCTTAGAGCAGGAGATACAAGGTTAGATGTATGAAAGAACTTCCCATGTGGAGTCTTCTGCCCAAATGTAAACTCTATGAAGGGAAGAACTTGGCCCCTTTGCTTTGTACCTCCCATGCTCAAATCAGTGCCTGGCTCACTGTTGGTGCTCACTGGTCCAGGGCATGGATGATTATGGGGAGGAAAGGCAGTGAACTTGTTGGGGTTCAGGACACCGTCTGTACTCTGTGCAGTTTATTTCAGGCTTGGCCTTTGCTAAGGGTCAGAAAGTTGGTTGGAATAGAGATCCATCCACATGTTGGAACTACAGCTGTATTTGAGCACTTTGCCAGGTGCAAGAGATGAGATGGTACAAAGTCCTTCTGCAGTGTATTTTTCAGTATTGAATTGTTGGGGGTTCTATCTTTTTAACAGTGGTTTTAACAAGGGATATTTCCCTAGAATGGTTCCTCGTGAGGTAGTAGAGTGATCTCTGGGTTCAGGGTATTGGGTGATTTTTTTTTTTTTTTAAAGGGATGGGGTCTCACTATGTTGTCCAGGCTCACAGGCATGCCTAATAGCACACTGCAGCCGGCAGCCTCCAGCCTTGAACTCCCAGGCTCAAGTGATCCTCCGGCTTTAGCCTCCTTAGTGGCTGGTTCTACAAACATGCACCACCATGCCTGGCTCTGGGTAGATATTTAGCCATTAAGCCTAAGTAAATCTTGACAATTTTGGTTCATTTTATCGTCCCTGAGAAGAAGCTCGGTGAATGTGGTCATTTAAATACGTGATTTCCTTGTTTAGGCAGCATTAATGGCCTTTCTGTGCTTCTTTCTGCTCCTTCTTAAGTTGGGAGTCTGGACAGATCCCCCTGCCCCCATTCCTATGCCCCCAAATAAGGGTTTGAAATTCCTATGATCTTCTTCAAGGAGAAGGGTTGAGAGTGCTTTGGTCTTCCTGTTTTCCTCCCTGCCTCCCTGTTGCAATATTGAGCCTGTGTGTTCTACAGTTTTTTTTTTTTTTTTTCCTCAGCACCAAATTGAGATCTTATTTCTGTCTTTTTCAACTTTAACATCTCTTCTTTTTCGTGTTTGGGGATCAGAAGCCACATATGGACCAAGAGGAAAGTGGGAAACAAGGCTGGCCGGGGCAGTCGGTAAGCTCGTATGTACATTTCATAATTTTCACCATACCTGGTGAGTTGTGCTGAATCTTGGGGAAAAGGCCTGAAGTTCTGTTACTAGCAGGGGAACGGGAGTTGTGGTTGCTGTTGGGACCACAGCCAGGAGGATATTTATAGTCCTGAGTGAGTGGCTGTGAGCCCACCGTTCTGGGTATGCACTCCTGCCTTACAGTTCCCGGTGTTCTTGAACCGGACCCTGCCCTTGTTGGCCAGACAGTAGTTAATGATAAAGTGGATGGCTGCAGGATGTGGCGCGTGATGGCCTTGGCGGCTCCCAGCCTGCAGGTGCTTGCGCTTTGGCCGACCTGAACACCCAGCCGCAGAGCAGGTGCTCCCCTCCCCCACTCTGGTCAAGGCTGCAGTGACTTCCCTGCCTTCCCTGAGCTGGCTTCATAGACATGGAGCTGACGGACCACTCACTGACCAGAGTCCACTTTCTTTATACCACACGTGCAACGTTGGGTTAAGATTTGAGACATTGAAAGAAAATGCAGGTCATGAATTTAGCTTCTTCATCCTCTTTGAATTCAGGTCAGATATCTAGACTTGCCAAAATCAGGTGACATTTTAGCACATTTTAGCTCACTTTAAGGTATAAAGACTGAAAGGAAAAAGTGAAAGAGTAAGTTCTCACAAGAAATAACCAAAAATGCAAAAATTTTTTCTTGGTTACATAGTGAAGTATAATATGTGCATTTGTGTTGACCCTTGTGTGCTTTGATGGTGGAATGATAGTTTATGTGTTTGCATGTGACAGAAAACTCAACCCAGACTAGCCTTGGTAAGATGAGCATGCCATTCTGGTAAGGGCAGGTTTCAGATCTGCTGTGACCCAGGGCTCAAGCAGTGTCCCTGGGGTCTTGTTATTTTCCCCTCTAATTCCTCTTCTTTTGTAGGCTCCATTCTTAGGCAGGTTCTCCCTTCATGGTAGCAAAATGACTATGGCTTATTCTCCAACATTCAAGTATAATGAGAAAATCAAACTGTCATTTCCGGTAGTTCCTGTAAAATCCCAAGAGTCATTCTTTTTTTTTTTTTTTTTTTAATATATATATTTTTTGAGACAGAGTCTCGCTTGTTGCCCAGGCTAGAGTGAGTGCCGTGGCGTCAGCCTAGCTCATAGCAACCTCAAACTCCTGGGCTCAAGCAATCCTGCCGCCTCAGCCTCCCGAGTAGCTGGGACTACAGGCATGCGCCACCATGCCCAGCTAATTTTATATATATATTAGTTGGCCAATTAATTTCTTTCTATTTATAGTAGAGATGGGGTCTCACTCTTGCTCAGGCTGGTTTCGAACTCCTGACCTCGAGCAATCCGCCCGCCTCAGCCTCCCAGAGTGCTAGGATTACAGGCGTGAGCCACCGCGCCCGGCTTCAAGAGTCATTCTGATTGGACTAGATTAGGTTCTGTCCCACCCCAGAATCAAATGCGGTACGCTGATTGGTGTGGCCCCTCTTCTCTCACCTGTGCGGGGTGTCAGAATAGGACTGGGTATATATACCAGGCTGAATCCAGGGCTTGTTGCTGGAAAGGGGTGGGGGAGAAGCTGGGGAAGCAAGCAGCTCCTGCAAAATGATGCCATGAAGTACATATTGGGGGCTTTCATTATCAGGAAAGAGCACTGTTCTTGGGCTTCCTAGACTGTTGGCTTGGTTTTCAAAAAGTAGTAAGTTCTTGGTATGGTTTCTGAGTAAGTCTGGCATCCCCCAGAAACATGGAGCCAGCGATTTTGCTGACGCCCCTGGGGTGCTCACTGCAGGGTATCAAATTACAGTAGGTCATAATGGATGCCAGGCTAGGTAGTGCTATGGTGTGACATTAGACCAATTAGCGTTCCCTCTATGCCATTACATCAAGGACTGTAGCTGGACAGCTATTCTCAACATATGTTTTGTTTGTCTGCAGAAACACGTGTTCCATTTCTCTCTGGCCATTCAGATTCATTTTGGGTGAATGTCTTGTCAGCTTGGGCTTGGGGAGAGAGGAGGACAGGCTTTGTGTTGGCAGGGCTTCAAGCCTGGAGCAGCATCCTGCAGCCAGCACCGTAAGCTGTCTAATTTGTCCATGGAGGCCTATGCATTATAGAAATGAAAATTCCTTCTCTGACAGCATTCATTGCTTAGCACGCAGCAATTTGGTTGTCAGAAACAGCTGGCCCGGCAGGGTGGGACAATAGAAAGGCGAGACCGAGAGGCTCATGCTTACTCCAGGCTCCCACTGTGAGCGGATCAGGTTACTGAGACTGTCATTGACTACAGGCTGTTGGGGGCTCTGGGCACAGTGAGCAGGAGCCCATGGCTCCAACAGTTAGTGATCCCCCCCCCCTTCTTTTTACTGAATGTAACAAAAATAAATAAATTAAGAGTAAACTACTAACCTTTGCTGACACCCACGTGTTCAGTTATGATGGTGTCTTCTATTGGGTGATGTGCATTTCTGGGGAAGTAAATCCCTTCTAACCTAAGTCAAGTTGTTACCAACATGTTGTAGAAAACTGGGAAAGAAGTAGGGGTCTGAGGCAGGACGGATCACTTGACCACCTGCATGTTGGAGGGCTGGATTCTGTTAGGTCCTACTTGCCTTAGAAGCAGTGTTGAAAGGACCAACACTGGGGACCTTATGAGGCATGTTGAAGCATGAAATAGAAACCAAGGTGTGCGTTTTCCCCAGGTGCATGTGCTGGGAAGAGTCATGCAGCCAGGGGGAGGGAGGGGGACAGAGGAGCTGTGTGGCTTAAACCTCCTGTGTGAATCTGCAGTGGGGCTGGCTCTGTGCTTCCTGTATCGATTCTGTGACTCACAGAGCATGAGCTAAGCAGAAAGCAACACTTAACTACAGAGGAGACAGCTGTCTGTTACAGGAGGACATATTTTCTGGTTTCATGGCGCCACGTTTTTTTCTATTAGTTTGTACACTAGAGATGTATTCACTAGAGATGTAATGTCTCATAAAGGGTCCTTTTTTTTCCTTTTTGGAAAAAAATAAGCATTCTTTAAAAAATCACCTTCTAAATATTATTCTTGGCTTTATTATTTCCCAACTGGACTTCCCATTTAGGAAAACAGTACAAAAATTTTGTTTTCCTTTTTGTAAAACAAAAAAAAAAGCTACATATCAAAATGGGATTCTTTTTCTCATGATAGCAAGGTCTAGCGGAGATTTAAAGCACTGCAGTGGGCAGTATCTTGCCTTTTTGAAGTGAAAGGCATTTCAGAGATATTGGGCAGCTCAAGGTTAGTTTGCCTGTTGGAATTTGATGGTTGTTCAGTGTGGCTGGAACTGTACCTCTCCCGCCTCCCCACCTCCCCCCTAAATCTGTTTCCCTTTTACATGATAGAGGCTGAAGTTCCCAGATGTTGTTTAGATTAAAGAGTGTGTGTGGGGAGGGGAAAAAAAAGCTTTCTTAATGATAATAACAGAGTCAGACTGGCTGGTTCTGTACTGACAGGAAAATGGAGAGATAAAAACTCCATTAATGGTGTGTGCACTGCCTAAGTAGCCAATAAAACAATGCTGTCCTCACTGGAAGCCGGTCCCAGACTGGCAGAGCTTCGTGCCAACTGCAGGAGACAACAGCTGCAAAGAGGGGAAGAGGTATTCCAGTCAAGAGTCCATGTTAAATGACTGGCTTGGGGGGGCGGTTCTTTTGTTCTCTTCCTCCTCCTCCTCCTCTTCTTCCTCCTCTGCCCATTTTCCTTGATGAGCCCCTCTTAATGCTCACTGTTCCAGAAATTGAACCACATCTGATTAAAACTTAATAGTTACTCACAAAATGAAGTTGGCTGGTAGTTTCTAAGCCTGTTTGTCTGGGTTAGTTTGAGTCTGTGACAATAGAAATTGTTAATTTGTATAAAAATGTATCCAAGCCTTAGCGTCCTTAAAGCTTGACAGAATAGTCACTTACCACAGATTTAATGCCATATATTCTCCCCAAATACCTTTGAATTTTCTTGCTCAAAATTAATAGTAAAAAAGCAATTTTTTGAAAAGGCATCTTTTTTTTTTTTTTAGAAGAAAACAAAGAGTGGCAAAAGGCTTGGTTTAGTCAGCTTTCATTCTATGTGTGCTTCCTTTGCCCCTGCTCTAAGTGAAGCCCTATGCTTCATTCTCTGAGCCAGGTAAGGCTGTGTGCAGAGGAGACCTGACTTTGGGAATTTATTGTTACATGGTCAGGTAAGCCCTTAGATCACCAAAGAAGGGAAGGAAAGAAATGCTATTTAAATGATGTAGAAAAGCATCCTTGTAAATTGAAAAGCGAGGTGATCCAGTTACCTAGCTCTATCTGTGTTACTTGCAAGTTTAAAATCTAAGTTACTTTTACTTTTATTCATAGTATACAGGCGGCGGGGGGGGGGGAACAGATATTTGAGTGATTGTTTTCGTGCCATGGCTTGTGCCACAGACTTTACATATATTAGGACGTTTGTATCTGTTGCTTCTTTTGACAGGTAAAAGAAACATACATCTTAAGGAACTAACTTACTCAAGCCTGCAGGGTCGGTTCCTCCTGTTCACGGGTGTAGCTGTGAGGATATGAACCAACAGTCTGGTATTTACTGCACATGATTACAGTGGACAGCTAGAAGAGGAGGTGGGGTGTTCTTTATCTAGACCCTTCAGAATGCTAATTGGCATGGGGTAGAGGCACACACTGCTTTTAAATCCTGGAAGACTTAAATCCTGGAAGGCTTCGTGGAGAAGTAGGGACATCCACTTATTTTTCAGCACATTCCCTTGAGAGCACACCCCCAGTCAGGTACCCTGCCAGGGACTGAGGACTCAGAGCTGAAGAGGACAAAGGGCATCAGCTATGAGAGGGTGGTGATCATTTCCTGGTGGGCAAAGCCATGGGAGAGAAGAACAAGGGTGGGTATCCAAGCATCCTGTGGCAAGTGAATCTTGAGAACGGTCTTTGGTGATGAGTTTGGCTGGGGGTGAGGCTTGTCCAGGTTACCCTCCTGAAATGGACTTT